GAGGAAGCAGCGGGGTAGAAGAGTGAAGCGGAGTTACCGAGGAGGAGGGTGTCAATACTTTGTTCAGCGACCATGAAGACCAATGTACAGCGACTTGGGGATATCTCTTTGAAGGAGGTACTATATATCAAGGCGGAGAAGGGATATGACGGGTTGTACGGGGCCTGCAAGAGTGCGGAAGAGGGGCTCCAGGCTCCGGCACAGTTGAAGCAGAGTTTTATTGCGGTTCCAGCCAGGTTGAGGTTAATGGGGTTTAATGTGATACTTAAGAGGGCTTTATACGATTACAGGCCCAAAGATTATTGTCTTTTTCACCTGTTCGATTGGGTGGACTCACACTTTCAGGTATTTCCTCATTTGCTGGAGGATAGTTCCGATACTCAACTGCCAAAGCCCATCCCGAAACCCACGAAACGCTCAGAAGGCTCTAAAAAAAGATTCTGCAAAACTCTACACTCTAGAAACCAGACCAGATCCTTCCGCAAAGCCATCTAGAGAGCCTCCACCAAACGACCCTGCAATCACCGAGGTCCCACACCTCCAGCCCACCGCCCTTCCCCTCGAACTCAATGGCTCCCTCATGCAGCCAATCCGAACCTCCGCCCTCCACTCCTTTGCGCACACAACCTCCCCTTCTCTCCTGTTCCACACCGATGTTAACACTCGTGGGCTAGACCTCCCAAACGTCGACCTAACAATCCAATTTGACCGTCCGTTCTCCCGTGATGACTACCTCCACAGTATCGGCCGGGCGGGCCATAATGTTCCTGCTTCCAGGGCCGGCGGAATGCTATGTCGATGCAGTGCTAAAAGAGGTTGGAAATCCCATACACGCAGACATGGACGAGGTGTTCGGGAATGGCTTCGGAAGGGAAAGGGTGAACAAGAACCTAGAGTGGGAAGATAAAGCCTCAGCATGGCAGTTGGAAGTGGAGAGGTGGGTGTTAGCGAATAAAGTGATGATGGACCTGGCAAACAAAGTATAGGGACGCCACATCTGTGCCTATACCACCCGTGTTGCCTCTGAGAAGGGTATATTCAATCATAAAGCACCGCATTACGGATAATTAGGGAAGAGTTTTGGGGTCAGGGATGCCCCAGAGGATAGTTCCTGGGGGTGGCGCAATTGGTGGTGGGAAAGGGAGGGAACTTTGCGGGTTCGGCGGCCACAGTCACCTTCGTCAAAGCGGACGTGAAAATAAGCTTAGCTGTAGAAGATTCAGCGAGCGATGCTAGCCTAGAAGCAGTAAGGGAGAAGCGGAAGATTGCTTTTAGCATGCATATAGAGAAGGGGATGGCTTCTGAGTTTAATATCGGGTGAGGAAAGCTTCTGCCCGGGTAAACCTATCGTGACTACATCTAATATTGTAATTATGATACCTTTCTGTGAATATACCAGACCAGGAATCACACTGCGAGGGATATGAAGTGGTCTAAAGTGGGGCCATGCTTCGTGGCATAGAGACACGCGTACCACCCCCCTCTGTCACTTCACTCTTCTCTCCCTCAATTATTACAAAAAATACTTTTCTCCTAAATAACGACACCCCTTAACCCATAGCCCCTCTACTTACCACTTTCCCCCACTGACTATCCCCCCCTCGCACTTTGGCAAATATGAAGAAAACGAGAGTCTCTGCCAGATATCCCGGTACGTGGCAGAAGCCGTTTCGGAACTTGTCTGGAAGCTAACGGCATTAGGTTTTCTTTTTCCCGTTACTGCCTTGCGCTCAAATTCTTTTCTCCACAATGGCCACTCACTACACCACCATCGCCCAAGCACAAGCGTATCACCATCAACCACCCGTTGCCAGTGACCACTTGGAAGCTCTTGTCAGTTGTCAACTGAGACAAGACAAGAATCCTGACCGTGAAAGGATGTTGGTGGTCAATGCCCTGAAAAGGGCAACGAAAAATGTTGAGAAAAAACTTTACATTGCCGGCTCCCAGAGTTCATACTACTCCTACGTTAACGGCGGAGGGGGAAGGATATTGGCTGAGATAACACAATTGCGGAAGGCCTCGGAAGATCAAGCTGTCAAGTTGGATTCATTGAAAAAGGAGTATTCAGCAAAATTGGAGGCTTCGGGAAAAAAGCTCTCTAGCATTGTTGAGTGGGCCGCTACTATGAAACAAATCCAAGGAGTTGGGATATCGATTCGCAAGTGCTTTTTTCATAATTACATGAAATCAGTCGGCATGGCATCTGCCAAGCATTACCGGGCAATCCTAAAAGCCAATAAAGTGGCTCATCATGGAGATTTTCAAACCGACACGTTGTTGACGAAACTTGGTCACCTTGGACACACTCGTGCTTTCAAGGACCTCTATGGTGTTCCGTATAAACGTGCCGAATATTACATGAGTATGTATACCGCTGTGGTTTAGACCTTACCTATATCAACTAACAATAGTAGAATCGAATATGATTATTAACATAATCAACAAACGCGCTACAATGATTGCCAACCGACGCCGAATATCGAGAAAATGGGATGAGCAACTACAGAGTGACTTTGAAAATATGATAGTATTTTTTCATAACGCAAGCGAGGAAGAGTGGGGTAGGTTCGAAAAGGATGAGGCGAGCGCAGAGAAAATTCCCATAACGAACTCCCCGCACCCGTTGTCCTGGCCCGAGGTCGAGCACGTCCGAAATCTGCTAAGACAGCGTTTCCAAATGGTTGCTTGGGGAAATGAGATCCCAAAACATCTCCCAGACACGATTTTACGCCGAGCTCAGTACCTGCCGCAGATATCCGCCAGGAATAATAAACCGCTACAGATTACAAAGCATACTACGGAGGATGCCTACCTCCGAATCTATATAGAGAGTGCTCCAGCACCAGACATCAAACCTCGCCAGATCTATTTCGAAATCCGGAGTCACGATATCGGAAACGTCAAGCCCTCCCAGCGAGATGGGCCTTATGGAAAAAGCGACACTTTTTTCGAAGTAGAGATACACTCTGCTCTCACCGGAATAACCCAACGAATTCCTCTGCAAAAGAACTTCCACGGCTCACGGTGTCTACGCACCCATAAGATAACATGGGACATCCACGGCGCAGATTCAACGGTCTCGGACATGATTAGTGCACTCATGCCCGGTGACGAGTTGAGAGTTTTTGCAAAATCCTCAGGAGACTTCAACATCAACTACGTCGAGTCGATGGAGATGCGAGTAATCTACCATTATTTCGGAGAGCAGAAGGGCCCAATTCCCGCGCCCGGCGCGGGGCCGGACGGCCGACAGAGCGGGCATAGTGGGGGGGTAAGTGAGAAACCGGATGTCCCACACCACCAACACGCAAACGGCGTTACAGCATCGGATAGGGGGTCTACGAGTGGAAGTCCGCTAGCTGCAAGTAGTGATCAGTGGGTTTCTCCTTTTCAAGTATTGTACAGTATGTTGATTTTGAATGCCTGGCTGATATTTGCACAGACAATTGGAGAAACCCCTGGCAATCTGTGTGCCAACCCCACCACCTCCCAGGAAACGGGGTTTTCGAGATATTCTTTGTGGTTGCTTTGGCGAGTCTTGAAGTGGAGTTTCTGAATTTGATATTGTTATTTTCTTCTGCCTTTCTCTTTCTCTTTCTTCCTTTCTTTGTCTGCAATAATATCCTGAAGCTCTCAGAATGACTCTGTTAGCAAACTGTAAGAGCCACAGTAAGTAGAAAGACTACTGCTGGCCTGGGCTAATAGCCCTTCTATCTAATTAGCTTTCGGCAATATCAGACCCGGTGTTCAACTTAGAGTAAAGAGACCTTTTCATACGAAGATTAATAGTCTAGAATAGCATATTAGTGCAACCCCAAACTATGCAATAAACCAGGTCCATAACAGCCAGGGTACAGCTGAACCACCACAGGATACGAGCCCACTCCCCCACCCCTCCCCCACCCACAGGAAACGGCAACGCCAACCCCCTCCACCGCTATGAAATCGTATAACACCTCCAGAACACCTTCCGCCACAACACACCCAAATACCCCATACAATCACTTCACTACAGCCCACAGAGCGCCCTCAAAGCGACAAACCCATACTCGAAGCACTCACACCCAACACACCGTACACCCCATCTTCCCCCACGCCCGAAAACAAAACACCACCACCACCACCACCACTGCCGGGAAGAGAAACTCACTCGTATGATAGAAAGGTCAAAGCAGCGTTATGGTACTCGGTTCCGGTACGACGTGGTTATCGTGATCAAAAGTATC